CCCCAAAACCCCAAAACCCCAAAACCCCAAAGGATAATATTAATGAGTAAATGATTAGTAAGAATATTAAATTATATAAATGTTCAAAATACCAAGCATTATCCTCCTTTTTAACAGCCACCACTACTTTTATTAATGCTATCTAAATTTTTCTATTACTATTTTTAATCGTTTGCAGATCTTAATTTGGTGCATTATTCACCAAAGAATCTTTTCTTTGAATTATCAACTTCGATGCTTTAACCCAAACTTATTTTACTTTTTACTTATTCTGTGCCTTTCATCCTGTTTGAGTAAAATGCAGTATCTTTTATATCACTTTAAAGAAGATTATCTTTGCTAATACTGCTGTTAGATACAGAATTATTTAGTTTTATATTATTAGACATTGAATCAAAAGTCCTCTAATTATTATTGACAGTGTTTTTGCACTCTTCTTCTTGAAACTTCTAAGTTGAATTCAACTAAGACAAATCTTAAAATATATCTTTGCACAACAGATCATCTTTAGATGGTAATCGATCCAAATATCTTTGAGTTTCTTGAAGTTGATTCATCAAGAGGCTTAAATGCCAACTTGGCTTATGTAATTTCTCATTTTATTTGAACCTCACTATAAAACTTGATAACTCTCTCATAAATTCCTTATCTTTCAAAATTTATAGCACCAAAGTATGATCGAGCAAGGTTTCACTCACACAATTAGGAGCATAGTTGTATAACTATTCATGATTAAACAAAAACTCTGGACCGAATTCTACTGCTACAGATAAATACTTTCCTCTGAAAGATATCAGAGGGTATATGCTGCCTTGCATTTCAATATTTATAAGCGGAAGAAGCATCCCATTTAGGGTAAAGTAAACATCTCCGTTTTTGGTGATTCCACATCCTATTACATCATAACTGCCATATCTGGTCGCATATCCGATAGATTAACCATTAACATAGCATTTCCCGTCATCAGCATGAAAAGCAATACTGTTATTTTTATAGCCAGCAAATTCATTTAGTGGATAGTCCTTATTATTAGTTACTCCTACTGCAATTTAATCATACAAACCACCTATAAGTACTTTGACCTCGAAATATGCTAATGTTTTTTGAAATCTAGATTCCTCATCTTCTATTTCTTCTTAATCATCGCTATCATCTCCTTCATTATAATTTATATTTTCAGTATCATATTTTCTATAAGATCTTTGATTTCTTCTCTCAAAATTCAAATCTGCTATTTCTCTCTCTAGCTCAAGCTGTAATGAAGGGCTTTCAGAAACGCTGTTTGAACCATATCCACCTTTTATAGTACAAATTGGAAATTCAGTGATCATTGTGTTAGTTTCAAAATCATTAGATACATAGTTATTTTAGTTATCAATATTTTTTATCGTTACTGAATTATACAAAAAGAGAGGTTGGTTGCTTGGAATTTGAAAATCATTTGAAAGCTTAGCATTTGAAGGAATTTTTAATGGTTACTTTGCACAGCATTTATGAGGAAGTTAAATTGTATTACATTCACAGGCTATATTATCATAACCCAGAGGTATTAAGAAATGTCCTTGATGGCATAAATGAGCACATATCAGGCATACAGCTACTCGTTTGGAGGCATTTTACGGAGTGCAAGTTTAGCATATTAGTCCCATGTCATAAGGAATTTTCTGATTCTTAAGAAGCTATGTCTAATTTATGCAGACTGAATGCAACTAAGAAGAAATCATGCAAACTTTGAAGCCTGTAAATTCTACAATGTCTTAAATCATCTTTATTGATTAAGGTATCTTATTATGATCTTTTAATACTTCTTTTGCATTTTTAATAATTTACTCCAAAGCCTACAAGTTTTATTATCTTAAAATACTTACGAGCATTTCTTTTTCGAGGTATCTTTGATTCAATGGCATTTTCTTGGATATTTAAATGAAATCCATAGTATTAAGAATAGTTTTAGTTGAGAGAAAAAGATCTATTCCAAGAAACTAAGCTGTTTGCAAGAGAAATTAGTATCTTTGCTCATTTAGTTTTAAAGATTACTTCGCTATTTAATCTAAATTATTGAAGAATCCACACTTTTCAGATATTTAAATTACAGTCGATGTATAATTTCGACTAAATCCTGCAATCAGATTCATTATAATTGCCTTGCTAAAATGTTAGAGATTATGAATTAAATTCTTACTCAATTGATTAATTTTCAATCACAAGCATAATCAAAGTCACAATCCCCCCTAAAGAATATTACATTCTAATTTCAGGATTCCTTTGTTCTTTAATTAAATTTTATGTAATTATCTAAACCCCAAGTGAATAAAGTTCTGCGAAGTCTGCGTCATTCTAATCTTTCAAGCAAATTATCAATAATTCAAGAATCGGTATGTACTACTCTTCTGAATCAATCAAGTCTATAACTATTTAGGGTTGCTGCTAGTATAAATTCATCAATGATAAAAATGAAATGACTGCTTTATTCTTGTTTACAATTGACAATCCTGAAACAAGAGCTGGAAGAGTTCTTTCGTTTTTTGGTATCTATCTCAAATCTACTTCAGTTTCTTCAAGAAGATATGCATTAAATAAAACTGATTCATTTTCTAGTAATTAAGAAGCATCTGGTCTTCTTGAAGAATCATCAAGCATTCTAGATAATAACTCTCTTAAAGCAACATCCTTCACTTATTCCTTAATCAAGGTTATTCGTCCTTCATAAGACAAGTCTCTCAGATTTAACTTTAGTAAACCTTAAAGATAGTCTGCTCCTTCTTGTAGAGTGATGATAGTTTGAAAGATGATTACACCCAAAGACCAAATATCAATGTTATCATGAAAATTTTAGCCTATTCTCTGTTTCTCTGGAGGATCAAATGGAGTCACTATTTTGCTAAAACTAACTCCCCTTTCAGCCATTGCAATTTCACCTAATTCTTTGATATTCAAGAAGTCCATTAATTTGATACTAAACTAGTCATTTTCGGAGGCATTGTCTTGATCACTATTAAACTTAATAACAATATTGTTAGGGTTAATATCCATATGCTGAACACCTTGCTGGTTTAGGAATTTGATAGCTTTCAAACACTGAATTATTAACCTCCAAAGATAGGTCTTTTCACTGAAGAATTACATTAAAAGATGGTTGTTTCCGATTCTATCAGTCAGATTTTTGAGAGACATTGAGTTTTCTGGAAGAGCTTCTTCGACCACTAAAAATTTGATGTTCGGACGTTCCTCTTCTACGGCAACTGCTTAGAATTAAACAAGGTTAGGATGTCACACATGGATTAACTATTTTTGCATTTTTTCAATTAATTTTATTGATTGATGGTTGTTTAAACTGTGGATAATTCTTATAGTCATGAATTAGTTAGGATTCTTAACAAGCCTAACCTTATAGAGCTAAAAATTGTGCCTTTGATAGATGGTAAGTGCTTGAAACATTCCCTCAATGAAATGGACATTTTTAGCAGTGATGTCTACTTCATTGTTGAGGTTAGATGTTAATGAAGAAATTAATTGCTAGTTTCCCATTTAAATTTGCCTAATTATTTATTTCTCTTTCTCAAACTATATTGATAATAACTATATCACGGGGTTTTGGGGTTTTGGGGTTTTGGGGTTTTGGGG